TTTGAAAATGTGACTACAGTTTGGACCAAAAGGATGTTAGCAATTGAAAAAACTGTAAATTGATCAAAAAATGACAGTAAAGATATTTAAAATTTTACAAATGATTCTATTTCAAATGAATGCCGTTTATTTGTTTAGTAAACCTGAAAAATAATATGTGTAATGAGAGGGAAGGTGTGCTAGTCGCTTCAGGAACACATGTGGGCGGGGCTTGACTTGTGTCTGGGGAGCTGATTGGCTGGTTCTGGTTTGCTATTGGCTGATCTCATGTGAGTGACAGGTTAAGCCCCGCCCTCGTCATCAGCGAAGAGGAAGTTATTCTGATTCAAGATTGTAACACAATAATCATGTGCACCGATAAATCATTTGTGATGAACACTGTAACAGTAACAGTGGGCGAGTCTAAAGTCTCTCTCTCTCTTCAGTGTTTCCTGCAGGAATTCTCCAGCCGACTCTCTATGATCCCGAATTCCCCTCAGTGAGTGTGTGATTATTCCAGATCAATATTCCTGTGTGTGTGAGAGAGAGAGTGTTTGAGTCTCTGCTGCCTCTCCTGTTCACAGCGCTGTAATAGACCCAGGTGTGTGTGTGTGAGTGTGTATGAGTGTGTGTGTGTGAGTGAGTGTGTGTGTGTGTGTGTGTGTGTGTGTTTGTGTGTGTGTGTGTGTGTGTGTGTGTGGTGAGTGAGTGTGTGTGTGTGTGTGTGTTTGTGTGTGTGTGTGTGTGTGTGTGTGTGTGTGTGTGTGTGTGTGTGTGTGTATGAGTGGCCTGGTAAACCCTACGTTATGGGGGACAAAATTGTCCCCACAAGGATGGCAATATCCGAAATCCTTGTTCGTGTGGGGACATTTTTTGGTCCCCATGGAGGAAATCAGCTTATAAATCATACTAAGTGATGTTGTTTGAAAATGTAAAAATGCAGAATGTTTCCCGTGATGGGTAGGTTTAGGGATAGGGTTAGTGTAAGGAATAGAATATACAGTCCTGTACAGTATAAAAATCATTATGTCTATGGAAAGTCCCCATAAAACATGAAAACACAACATGTTGTGTGTGTGTGTGTGTGTGTGTGTGTGTGTGTGTGTGTGAGTGTGTGTGTAGCCTGCTGTAATGCCAGAAGACTCAGTGTTTCTTCTATCTCAGGTCACTGAACTACGGAGGAATCGGTGCGATCATCGGACATGAGCTCACACACGGATACGACCGACTGGGGTGAGAGACACACACACGACAGAGAGAGGACACACACACACAAACGACAGACAGAGAGAGAGAGAGAGAGAGAGAGAGAGAGAGAGAGACACACACACACACACGACAGACAGAGAGAGAGAGAGAGAGAGAGAGAGAGAGAGAGAGAAGAGAGAGAGAGAGAGAGAGAGAGAGAGAGAGACACACACACACACGACAGACAGAGAGAGAGAGAGATGTTTACACTTTTTATTATCCTATCATGTTATACAATAATCATCACATTTCCATAATTAATAACAATACTTAATTTTAAATTTTAAATTCAATATTAATTCTTCAAATTTCAGCAGTACCACTGAAACACTAATTCATCATCATTCACAAAAATAAAATTAGCATTTATACACCACTTTCTTTTTTTTAAATAGCATATCATTATTCATTTTATAAAATTCATACTCTATTTTAACTCTGGATTCTACCAAAGCTTTGAACAATTCTACTATATTAATTCTTTTATCTTCATTTTTCAATTTAAATAGTTAACTTCGCTTGACCAATTAAAAAATTGGGAAAAGGTGCAGGACTCACTTAGAGACTTAATATATTTAAACTGTTTTGAAAAATTCTAAATAAGAGATTCAAAGAGGGTAACAATCGAAACAAATGTGAACACAGTATCTGATACAATGCAAACTGAAGAACTGAAGAACCTGGAGTTTATAGAGCTGAGGGACCATCAGGGACAGGAATGCTCCGTTCCTCTTATTAAAGCTTCACGTTTGCTGCAGTTTATTTTAGCAGAAGATAAAGCTCTAAAATCTTCAAGTAATTCCTTAAAATCTCGATATCTTTCTTGCCTCTTGACTCAGCGTAAGCGGATAACTGAACGCTACAGTTAAACCAGGAACACTGATCCCAGTCCAATGCGCTCGACCACACGCTGATCCTGATCCGGAGACGCACGATCCATCACCGTGTGGATTGTGGCATGTGATGTCATGTTGTGATTTAGGGTCATGTGACCTCTCCCTGTCTGCTGATAGGTGGGCAGTACGATCGCTATGGCAACCTGAAGCAGTGGTGGACCGAAGACTCGTACAGGAAGTTCCAGAAGAAGACGGAGTGTATCGTCAAACTCTACGACAACTTCACTGTGTACAACCAGAGGGTACACACACACACACACACTCTCACTCACTCACACACACACCACCCGCGGGCTACCATTGGGCAGGTCTGGGCCCGCCCATTTTGACCCAGGCCTATAGTGAGTAGTGAGTGATTTTCATTCTAGCAGCCCGAG